CACAGACATGCACAGCACAAGCGGCGCACCAACACCCAGAGAGGACGAAAAACAAGGCGACCACAGAGGGGAAAACATCAAGACCACCCACGACTTCACCTAACCCGCTCATTTACTTCAGGGACGGCAGTGAAAACATGCAGGCAATCACCCACAATAATCTCCCACAGGCTACACCCCCGGGACGCATGGAAACAGCTCCCTGGTGCACCACCATCGGACCCCCTGGAACTTGCCTCACGCACAGGCATCGACTAAATAGGTTCACCTGAACTATGCAAACTGCTCCAAGCATGCCATACACAGACACAACGCATATACTTAACCTACACTGAGCTGAACGGCTGCCATAATGTATGCTACAGACTTCCTCTCGTTACTTTTTGTTTAGTCCATGATTAGATTGCCTAAGCTCTTATCTGTTATTTGTAGTCAGACATACAGGCCTAGCAAAAGTATAAATATATGTCACCATGCTGGTAGTTTCCCTAGCCAGGCTGGTATTCATTCAGTTAATCTTGTCAACCTTGTGATGACTGCCAGAATTTCTTGAAACTCTCCTAGACACACATAGCGTGTGTGACAAGTAAATTGTAAGTTTTATGCGTAAACATCATCTCAATAACTAAATTAAAAAAAATGTGCACCCTTGAATACCCTGATGTAAACAATGTTGAAACTTAGCGCGAGGAATGCCGTTATTTTGCTGTTATTTTTCTTTGCACTGCAAAAATAATTTATTTATTTTTTCAAAAGGAGATAAAAAGGAAAAGATCAAAAAAAAGAAAAAAGGGGGATAAAATAAAGGAGGAGAGTACTTGTAGAATAGGAGAATTAAGGAGCAGGGTATTTGTAGAATAGGAGAAAGAAGGAGCAGAGTACCTGTAGAAAGGAGAAAGAAGGAGCAGAGTACTTGTAGAATAAGGGAAAGAAGGAGCAGCGTATTTGTAGTATAGGAGAAAGAAGGAGCAGAGTACTTGTAGAATAAGGGAAAGAAGGAGCAGCGTATTTGTAGTATAGGAGAAAGAAGGAGCAGAGTACTTGTAAAAAGGAGAAAGAAGGAGCAGAGTACTTGTAGATTAGGAGAAAGAAGGAGCAGAGTGCTTGTAAAAAGAAGAAAGAAGGAGCAGAGTATGTGTAGAATAGGAGAAAGAAGGAGCAGAGTATTTGTAGAAAGAAGGAGCAGAGTATTTGTAGAATAGGAGAAAGAAGGAAAATAAAAAGGAAAATGAGAGAATTGTTGTTGGCTAATAATAGTAAGTGGGCTACCTAGCTCAGCCTTCCTACTGGGCATTGCTATAAGGAAGGTAAAAAAAATAGAAAAAAAGGGAAAAAAAGGTGGGGAGGGGAATTGAGGAGGGAGAGGAGAGGAGCTGACGGACAGATGAGAAATCATATTTTTAGCAAACAGAGAAATCGTCTGAATATCACCGAAAGAGGAGACCTTTGTTTGTTCCTTACGAAAATCAAACCAGATATCAAATATTTAGTCTCGCAGCATCAACCTCAAGGATCTCATTAATCACTAGTAAAGTTAATTTCAATTTACTTTATTGTTTTCTCATTAAACTTTATAAAGTTAAAAACATTATAAACAGGCATTAAGTAGAAATAAAAAGATAAATAGATAAATGTACGTACATTTTTTTTTTTTTTTTAAAACACCCTCCTTTCTAAAAAATATTCCGCGCTTGCGCGAAAACTGGTGGGCGGTAAGTACATTTTTCCCTCAAGAAAGATGCATTAGTGGGCGGTAGGTAGAAAAAGGTTGACTACCACTGCTCTAAGGAACAAGCACAAGATATCCCTTTGAGGTTTAATCCCCAAAAATCCAATCTTCGTGAATTGAAAACTAAATTGCAAAATTAAGGCCAAAGCAAAACTGAACTGGGAAAATAGGTGAAGTGAATACAGTTTTCAGATTTGTCCATTTTCGGCTAAAGCTTTTAATTCCCCAGTCAGTTATACAAAATGTCCAGTTTAGTGAATTCAACTCAACTGTTGCAATAAAACAAAAAATCCTGAAATTTATCTTCTGTTGCCTAAATTTTGCAATTTCACAATCCTGACGTACCATCATTTCCAGTCAGAGTGCTGAACATATCACATCTTTACCCAGAGCTTCTAGGCTGCTGCTATTACATTGGCCTAGTTTAATTTATGTTTTTCATGAATGAAATGACTTGCATGAATGAAAGTACTTGCACCGTAGAACTGTACATATTTTGCTAGAGAAAAAAAAGACAGCTGAACTACTCCTGAAAACTTCCACTTGACGAATAATCCTCTAATTTTATATACAACTTTTTTTTATTTGAAACCAGAGGCAGTATTGTTTAAATATTGGACGTTTTGTATATAAGAAAAGTGGAACAATCTTCCAACAAAAAAAGTTATAGAAAAAATACTGTCTGACTGATCACCAGTGCAGGACAAACATGCTTTTGTAACCTTATATGATACAATATTTTTGGCAATTTATAAATAAACCGTTTTATATCTGCCATGTGTTTATTGTGTGGAATTCCATGTCTGCCTCAGTTCTGGCTAACCCACGGTTTTTCAGAGTTTATTCCCTATTTTGTGTCTTCCCTTCCTGACATAATATTTCATGTGACTTTGCAGTCATGACTTTATCTGCAGTTCTGCTGTAGTCCTTTTGGTTGGTCCATAAGTCAGATAATTGCCCAGCTCTTATTTCTGTGTCCAGGCCAAGAGCTGGATTTTACAAGGGATAGAAGGACTTTGAGTCATATTTTCACACAAGGTTTTAAAGGAAAACACCTTCTTTGAAGAAGACTTTGCTGCCTCATCAGTTTAGTTCCACTGAGCTAACCAAACCAGGAAGTAACAGGACCAGTTGTCTGACTGACAGCCAGAGAGAGTGTAACAAGTAAATTTTTAAAAAAATACACTTTCTATTAAAATCTGCACTTCTAATAATAAAAAAAAAAATGAAAACACATGCGCTCTTCACACATTAAGCACTTTAACAACCTAAAGTGCTTTAGGTGTTTGGAGTGTCCCTTTAAGCCTCCATTTATCAAAGTGTTTTGAGCCTGTGCTACAACCTGTCATGTTATATTAATTAAATCCATTATCCTATTCTTTTTTTATGTGCTGTTCCACTTTTTTGTAAATAAATATTAAGATTTAGCTAATGACATCACAATCCAGTTTAGTACTGGCACAGTGCATCAGAGGACGAGATGTGGAACAGTTATCAGGAACATTCCATTGGTTTCTGTGCCAACAACTCCATTTTAAGAACTTGGCCCCAACTTTACTCTTTATGCATAACCCTATTTTATTCAGAGTATCCCTTTACTGTAGTCAATGTCAGAAAACGGATGGAAAGACAGAACTTATTACATTGATTGACAGTGAGCAAAAACAGGGGACCTTATTTACAGAATAGAGCTAAATACAGCGCTGTGGAATTCTACATTTTAGACTAAAAAACAAATATTTTTCTAAATATAGGGGATAAGTAAACATTGTAGCGGACCACGGGTAACGCGACCGGTTACCTCTGCTGATTCTCCTCCTTCAGCCGATAAGGAATAATTTAAAATACAAAGAGACCCATCTTCCCCCAGTAACTGGACGACACACAGTCCTGGAGGTACAACAACCACTTTATTGGCCACACACGGATTTTATACATACCCCATGCAAGAGGTCCCTAGCGTGGGAAAGGACTCTATTCCCTTTGTCCCCCATGCCTTCTTCCCAGAAGCTTCTGTGCCTGGGAGTCTAGGCGCGGAAACAAGGGACCGTTCCTTTGTGTCCCAGGCACAGAAAGCCTGCCCACGTCAAAAAAGCTGATTTCTTTGTCCCTGCAGGCACTGAGAATCCCGCACAACTTGCCAGTGCCCCAGCAGTACCCACACCAATCTCGGTGACCCTCACAGCAGTACCTTCCTCGACCGGTCTCCGACCACAAGGTCCCTGTGTGAAATCCTATAAGGGAAGCGTCTCCTTTCAGGACACAAATGCTCCCCCTGGACAGCATTTGTCTATACGAAATGGCGGCCACCCAGGGGAGCATTCATTAATTACTTCCCTTGCAGTTTCACACTTAGGTTGCAAGTGAGAACTCTCTGATTAATTGGTGTGAACGTTCTAATGGGGCACTGGAGAGGTCCTCGTTTGGGAAATGAACGAGTCGAGAAACAATCCATGAATGCTCCCCCTGGCGGGTGTTCGTCTGTACGAATAACGGCCGCCCA